CATTCTCATTTTTATGATATTCGTAAATGTTATATTATAAAATTATTATTATTATTATTATTATGTTATTTTTTATTATCCGCGAACGTTAGCAACTGGACAAATTGAATGCAGCGGTCAAAGAAAAGCGACCAGAATTGGTCAATCGTAAAGGTGTCATTTTCCACCAGGACAATGCTAGGCCGCACACGTCTTTGTCCACTCGGCAAAAATTGATGGATATTGGTTGGGAATTGATGTTACACCCACCATATAGCCCTGATCTCACACCATCGGATCACCACTTATTTCGATCCCTGGACAACTCCCTTCGTGGTAAAACTTTTAACGATGATGACGCTGTAAAATCTCACTTAACTCAGTTTTTGGCCGAAAAGGATCAGACTTTCTACGAGCGTGGAATTTTCAAGTTGTCAGAGAGATGGCAAAAGGTCATCGAACAAAATGGAAAATACATTACAGATTAAACTTCGTTCCAAGTAAAAAAAATTTTTTTATTTCATTGAACAAATCGGCAATCACTTAGTTGCTCACCCAATATTTTGTGGAAACGATTTTTCCTCTCAATACGTCATGCGGACCCTGTGGAGCGGCCATGCCGCCTCGAACCGGGTTAATAAACACATCAATTTCGTACGGAGGTGGAGAGGGGGCGGCGCTGTTTTGTCGGTGCCCCGATAATGCGGATAATATATATTTAATATCTGTTTAGCATACACGTCCATTTATGTTTTTGCGGGATATAAGCTTTCAGTCAACATTATTGCATTCATAATACGCGCCTGACATAAATCTACACTCATTAGAATATCCAGCTGCCCGTATAACTCAATGAACCATCGATACAGCTGGGATTAATTAATTTCCGCGTACGCGGATTAATATCGGGCGATTATTAATATTTCGAGCGATCTTACCGTTTCGAAAAGTCACTCTTTGTCCCGCGGTGGCTACCAACCCCCGCGCATCGACAGCAGCTCCAGCGAATTCGCCTGATCGGTTCCGCTTATGGCTTCCCTCGTGGCAACCTTGAGAGACACAATTTTTCCGACCGTTATTCCTTTTTCGATAAATGAATAATAAAACGAAGTTTAATAATATTTGTTTTGCAATGCAGAATTTATTAAATGCCGGGTTGCAAATTAAGTCCAACAACATTCTCTTCTCTCTGGAAAATTAAAATTACAGCGGAAATATTAAAACTCGCATGAAATATTCAAACGAAGTTGTTGGTAGAATAAACTGGGGATACTTTACATATGGATACAAACATAATCATCGTTACGTCGATACTGTCTTTATGGCGAATTGGATCATCGCATTTGTCTTAATAAATTAAATGTAGATACGTAAATACAAACATTTAATAAAACAATAAAAATTGTATTACTATCTCTAGTTGCATAAATTTGTATTAGCCTGTGTTAAAAAGTTTTCCATGCGAAGCGTAAGAATAATTACTGTATTAAGTTATAATTACACTGTACATTAACGCTAATTACAAGATGGTTTGCAACACTGATTTTGAAATATAAAATGATAGAGACATCAGAAAATTTTCAGGACATTGTCAAATTATTGTGTATTAATTAAAAATCGTTAAGGAATATATCGATATTTCATTATATTAATAAATGCCTGAATGCGACGAGTTCGAATTTTTCGCGAACGAAAATCGAGTGGTAATTTTTCACCGAAAACATTGCCGCGATCTACAGATAGGAGGTCTAGCCGAGCCAGTTAATTAATCGATGATGTTCGTAATTGTTTCAGAATGTTCGGAAGCAGCGGTGCCTGCGCGGGCTGCAGCAACGCGATACCTGCCAGCGAGCTGGTGATGAGGGCGGGTGGATCAGTGTTTCACCAGAAATGCTTCACCTGCAGCAAATGCGGCAGTCAACTCGTTTCCGGCGATAGGTAAGACCCGGAGCCAGCTAATAAGCTACCGCCTCGCGAGTGTTGCTTCCATTGATTGCATGAATTCGGTGAAAACGGTACGCTGCTGGGTAGTATCGAACAGTAGGATCGGATGATGCTATTACAAGAAACTTCCGGAACAACCACACAGTATACGAGACACCGATAACATTGGGTTCTTGAGGCTCGGGTTAAGTTGACATTTTTCGGGTCGGATCGAGCCGCGTTCGAATTAATTCAGTCGAGTCGGGACGGGCCAATTGTTGCAATTGTTCTGGTAGAGTTGGAATTGTTCGAGTCAAGTTCAAATTTTTCTAGACAAATTGGCATTGTTGTGGTCAAATTGGAATTGTTTGGATCGAGTTGGAATTGTTCGGTTCAGATTGGAACTTTTTTCGGGTCGGATCGAGCCGCGTTCGAATTAATTCAGTCGAGTCGGGACGGGCCAATTGTTGCAATTGTTCTGGTAGAGTTGGAATTGTTCGAGTCAAGTTCAAATTTTTCTAGACAAATTGGCATTGTTGTGGTCAAATTGGAATTGTTTGGATCGAGTTGGAATTGTTCGGTTCAGATTGGAATTGTTTGGACCGAATTGGAATTTCTCAGGTCTAGTTGGAATTGTTCTGGTCACATTGGAATTGTTTGGCAGAAATTGAAATTATTCGGGAGTCCAATTGGAATTTCTTAGATCTAATTGGAATTGTTCGAGTCGAGTTGGAATTGTCCTGGTCAAATTGAAATTGTTCTGATCAAATTGAAATTGTTCTGATCGAATTGGAATTGTTCGAATCGAGTTGGGATTGTTCAGGTCGATTTGAAATTGTTTAAATCAAAATGGAATTATTTGAGTTACATGGGAATTATCCAGATCCAGTTGAATTGGAACTGTTCAAGTCGGATCGTTCGAGTCGTGTCAGATCAGGTTGGAATAGTTTCTAATCGATTTGAAATTGCTCGAATTGGATGAAGTTTCACTGGAATTGTTCGAGCCGGATCGAATTGGAATTGTTAGACTTCCAGTTTGGTCCGGCCTAATTGGAATTGTCCGAGTTCTGTTGAATCGAATTGGAATTGTTCAAGTCGGATCAAGTCAAATTGGAATTGTTAGATTTGAGTAAGGTTGCATATGAATTGCTCGAATTTGGCAAAGTTGCACTGGAATTGTTCGCGCTAGATCGATTTGGAATTGCCCGAGTCGTTTTGAGTCAAATTGGAATTGTTCGATTCGATCTGGATTGCACTAGAATTGTTAGAATCGGCTAAATTGCCAATTGCACTACAATTGTTCGTGTCGGATTGGTTGAAATTGAAATTGTACGAATCGCGGCGGTTTGGAATTGTTTGATTTTGGTCGCGTTACGTCAGATCAGGTTAGAATTAGATCGGGTTCGGTTGAAATTGTTCGGATCGGGTTCAGATGGAATTACTCGGGTCAGGTTCGGTTGGATTTGTTCGAAACAGGTTCAGTTGGAATTGTCCGAATCTGATTCAGTTAGAACTGTTTGGATCAGGTTCAGTTGCAATTGTCCGAATTGGATCCAGTTGGAATTATTCGAAACAGGTTCAGTTGGAATTGTTCGAATCAAGTTCAGTTGGAATTGTCCGAATCTGATTCAGTTGGAACTGGTTGGATCAGGTTCAGTTGGAATTGTCCAAATTTGATCCAGTTGGAATTGTTCGAAACAGGTTCAGTTGGAATTGTTCGAATCAGGTTCAGTTGGAATTATTCGAATCAGTTCGGTTGGATTTGTTCGAAACAGGTTCGGTTGGAATTATTCGAATCAGATTCAGTTGGAATTGTTCGGGTCAGGTTCAGATGGAATTATTCAGATCGGGCCAACTGAAAACAACTCGCGACCCGATTTGAGCGTCGCATATAATTTTTGACAACGCAGCTTGTCTGTGCCTGAACAATTACGACCCCTAGGCCCGATATCTCCTTGTTCTCGTGCAGCTCTGCCGCATAGGCACCCGTGCAGATCGATCGACTCGTTATTTCTCGAAGATCGAGCCCGGCATTCGGCTGGTAATTATCTGATCGCGAGGAACAACGGCGATCCGGAAAGAACAGTATTCCCGGAATTCCGGGTCAACCGGCGAAAATGCTAAACAGTGAACGGTAATTTGGATGCTGGGCCCCGGCTAATGCGAAACAAGCTTCTGCTCGGGCTGCATTCGTCAATCGAATTACGTGCAGCCAAATTAATCTATTAAATCGGAGTTCATGCTCGCCGGGAACGGCCGAATCATTCTATTAAATTCGAGTTTGTCAAAATAGCTGAATTAATCTATTGCATCAAAATTCATGTTCCTCCATACAAGCCGAGGTTAATTTATTCGTGCCGGGCTTGTCGAAGGTGTGCGTGTGCACTTTAATCGAGATTAAATTGATTTTATGATTTTCTGATCGCAGGCGCGCACCGTGCCGTATCGTTTTCGGTGATTAAGTGCTGCACGGGCGTCGACAAACGAAGCGGTGCGTTTTCGCGGACGTCTTGATTTGATGTCGACGGAAATATAAGAGCCACACACATACACACACACAATCTAGCGGAATAGCGGTGGAATCGATACGAGGGAAATCGGTTGAATCGGTAGAGCTCAAAGGGGAGCCCTCCCCCCCGTCGATACGCGAGAAAATGCGGCAATTAAAGGGTTGGAAAAGAGGCGTGTCGCCGGCGGTTAATTGGCGCGGGGGCTGCAATTGGGGATTTTGTAATAAAGGAGGAGGGAAACAATTATTCCGGGCCTGTAATGAAGCAAACTTGTTTATGAACGCCGATTCCGTATATGTGCTCTGTCGCATCGCCGGGAATCGCGTTACCGGCTGATTATGGGATTTCCTTTGATCCGGCCTCTTTTATCCGCGGGTTACGCTTCCGGCGATTCTCCAATTCCTGATTCACCGCGCGCGATAGAGAATCGGCCGTGGAAAACCTACGATCCCGCCGACATAAGGATCAACCACCGGCAAACACGTTTCAACCGAAACCATTCTTTCCCGTTCGCGCCGTAACGTTCTCGGTCCAACGGTTTTCATTAAAAGTGTTCGCGAAAAACGAGCGCAACAAGCTCCCCGGGGCTCCCGCGATTTTAATGAAAGAAACTTCATTTGCTGAATTTATTAATCCGTATTATTTACTTTGTCGTGTAATATTCCGCCGTTTTCAGTTCGCGTTTTAATGATCAAATAAAATTATAAAATAATAATTAAATGAGAGGGCGGAAATGTTTTCGATGCAGCCCGATTGCGATATTGATTACGAGATACCGTTTTCTTTTTTCACCGGCGCAAGAAGCAGGATTTTTCACTTCGACATTGTAATTATATTCGGTTCCCCTACCGGATTCTCGTTTTAATTAAAAGCTAGCTGTACTAATAGTTCGCGACTGCGAAACACCAGAAGCGTTTCTAAGATATATGCCACGGCCAATGGCGAGCTTAGCTTCACACACACTCCACGAGAATATTAGAAATAGATCGCGGACTTTTTTTATGCGAAATCAAAATTGTCTGCGTTAATTCTATGATCCGCGATGTACGTAGACATTTGTTTCGTTTCTTAATCATTTTAATCGGTTGAGGTTGCTACGACAGTGTTTTGTAATTTCTACTTGTCTACTTCGGTCATAAATGCATATAAAATCTGTAGTCTAATTAGAAGAGAGTATATAGAACCATACTAATTTATGTTACGGAAGATAATTTACGCCACCTTGTAATCTTACAGCCGTGTAAATAATAATAAAATTGAAAATTATAAGTTACGTTGCTTTATCCAAAATGGATTTTATTCGGATTTAATTGCGCAAATAAATTTTATTTGGATTTTTTATTTTAAATTGCATTTCAAGAGCAATCAAGAAAATCACTATTTTTAGTCATTCAGCATTTCACGAGTAGTCAAGAAAATGACTATTTGAATGTGTCGATCATACTACATTGGTAAAGAATCTCTCTTTAAGTGAAGTACAATGATGCACAGAAGAGAAAGAAATTATCTCGTAACGTAGATTTTTGTTTTTACGGTGCCTAGTTCCCATACTCGCCGTGTAGATGGCCCACTAGTCGACGCTTTCCGCGCCACGAGCTGATGAGTCACCGGACCGACCGTGCGTACACGGTCTGCGCCCGTCCTTACGATATCGCCCAAGACTGTTTCTGCTAGACGAGCACACTGATGAGACATCTAGCAGAACTCCTTCCACTCTTCCATCGTTTATACATAGAGCGCCAAAGTCTTACAGCTTGTTCACGCTGTGCGGTTTTTGACCGCCTCGGTCATTTTATCGAATCGGTAAAAACTTGAGACGGTATTCGTACAATTATATATCTTCGCCAAAAGATTTCATTGCCACGTGCATACTGCTTTCTTACTACATTGTGCACTGCTTTGTCACTAAATTTTCCACTATTTTTGTTACTATATTGTCTACTGCTTTGTTGCAACATTGCCCACTGCTTTGTTACTACATTGTGCACTGCGTTGTTACTACATTGTGCACTGCTTTGTCACTAAATTTTCCACTATTTTTGTTACTATATTGTCTACTGCTTTGTTGCAACATTGCCCACTGCTTTGTTACTACATTGTGCACTGCGTTGTTACTACATTGTGCACTGCTTTGTCACTAAATTTTCCACTATTTTTGTTGCAACATTGCCCACTGCGTTGTTACTACATTGTGCACTGCGTTGTTACTACATCGTGCACTGCTTTGTCACTACATTGTGCACTGCTTTGTCACTAAATTTTCTACTATTTTTGTTCTTGCGGCGCGAATGCAATAAAATAACCAAATCGGTCAAAACACCGTACCTCGTGAACGAGCTATTACACAATATCTTATGCAATAGTGCATAGTTAAACCTCCGCAGACGGTACCAAAAACCGTCGCTTAGGTCAGCAAGTGCATTCTGCGAATTCGCCTGGACGAAGGAGTGGGAATGTGCGTCACGGTCGAATCCCCACTCTGAAGTCTCACTCTTTAGAATTGTCGAGAACAGAACGTTTAAGTGAGCAAAAATGTGGCCGCTTAAATATGCGGTCTTGTAATACCTAACCTATAGTATCTAACCTATAATACCTAACCTATAGCGATATATAATACCTAACCTATACTACTAACCTGTAGTAGCGAAGCTAAGGTAAGAAGAGGGGATATAGGCATGGAACTAACGATGGTCTTCTCTGTGCCAGGTACTACCTGCTGTCGGGGTCACCGGTCTGCGAGACGGATTGGCACAAAATCGTAAAGTCGTCGAGCGTGGCGGCGGCGGCGGCGGCCGCCGCGGCCGGAAACGGCGGTGCCCCCGTAAGAAAAGGTAAGGTGGGCAGGCCTCGACGGAGTCGCGAATGAGGCGGCAACCCGGTCGGTCGCCCGAAGAAGGTGCAAGCCTCTCCGCAGCCAACGCCCGCCGTCGTGCCGAGCCAGGTCGACGTGGTGGACGTGGCGGTCGGAGGGGATCCCTATTCGCCGCCTCCGCCGGGTCATCAGCAGTACCACCATCATCACCACCACCATCACCATCATCATCAGATGGGCCTCGTGCATCCTGGACTGGCGGTACAGCAGACGCACCTGCAGGCGTCCACCTATCAGGACTGGTCTCCGTGGGCCCAGGACACCTGCGACTGAACGCGTCCCCGTTTGCAGCTCGAGATCGGCCTCCGCCACCTTAGAGAGCCGAGGGCGGTCAGCTCACCTGAATAATGAGGAACCCCGAGATCTCGAGCAGGGGCCTCCGGTCTCTCCACCCTCTCTCTCGCCAGAGAGCGTCTAGCGATCCCGCACCGAGTCCAGTCGCGTCGGTGGACGCGCCGACGCCTGTGATGGCCCCCATAAGTCGGACTCGACTGTACCCCTATGTCCTCTGGGTCTCGAGGACCGAGGATTGTTGGTGAACCTCTTCGTTGCCACGCGACACGAACTCCCGCGGGACTAGGCCCCGTCGTCGTCGTCGTCGTCGCAGCACGGAGAGACGAACTGTTTTCTGTGCGCGCGTGTTTGTCGTCGATATCCACGATCCAGGACCTCTAACCGGCTGTTTGGCTGTGCAGAGCAGCGGCACGCGCGCACCAACGCTGTCACGCGTCCTTCACTGGTCTCCCCTTAATCGATAATCTTTGCTCAAATCACGGAGAACCGAAGACAATTCAAAGTGTCCCGATGCACCAGCTGCGCGTTGTTGACCCCCGTCCCTTCGGCCTCGCTCTGCTTTTATCTGCGACGACAGTTTGCCCGAGGCTCTACCACCGATTCTTTCACGTTCGTCTTGGCTCCGTCGATCCGCCGGTCCTGTTAATCCGCGAGTTAGACAACCACGGCCGCCGCTCTCGCCTGATTTCCAATCGGCGAACAGCGACGATGCTAAATGGTCCGAGTAATTTCGAGGGTCCCGCCACCTTTATCCGCATCTTTTTGAACTATTCGTTCCTGTCGCTAATGTATCAAGTCCACGGTCTAGTAAGTTCTCTTCGTGTTCTGCAAATTAACCTTGGCCCGCGTTGGCCGAGCACTTCAAAGGCGCCGTCTAGACCTCTCGCTGTATCAAGATCGTCGAGTCTAGATAGACTCTGGCCTAGCTAAACCCTTTGAAATACGTTAAGAAAGATTGTCCGAGGGACCCGAGAGCATCGTCATCAACCGAAACCTGATAGAGACCGCTGCACCGAGCGAAGGAAACTTGACGAGAGGGCGAAGTCGCTGGTCAGACAAACGGTACTCCCGGGATTTCCTCTGGACCGGACCGCGTCACGTCCACCGCGCGAAGCGGCGTCGAGAAGTAGCGAGATCGGCGGACGCCGGAGCCACCGAAAAACTTGTCACGTATGAAGCAGGAAAATTGCGCGGGCCGAGGTCGGGTAATTCCGCCGATTGAAGCGGTGGCCCGGCCGTGTCCCGGCCCTTAGAAAATTATTTTTCTTTGAAAATTACCGATCCCTTCGAGTCGCGCCGCTCCGCGCCGGGAAGAGGGTCCACGGCTCTCCGTAAACTCATTAAGCGCTCCTTGTTCCCGCGATCGTTAATCGAGTCTCGCGCGCCGCGGAATAAAAAGCCAGCGCCGAGGTGAAACCGTCGAACGAGAGAAATTATCATTCGAATCTTCCTTGTTAACGGCCCGCGGCCCCCTCTTCCCCTGCTGCGACGAGAAACCGATCGGAGGAGCTCGCGAACCTACGCGCCGCAGTCGCGCGTTTGACGATGTTTGAAAGCAAGCTGACGGCACCCGACGATCGTCCCGCGGGATCTGTCGTCGACCGCAGATCCAACAATCATTTTCGAACCTTCGAGTCCCATACTGCACGCTGTTTGGCGCTGCTCGACCTTGTTGGACGTTGTTTGGAAGCAAACACAGACGGCCTGGACGATCGTGCTCTGGTGGATCTGTCGTCGATCACGGACCCACAAATTCATTCTCCAACAACTTCCGACATTGTACGGCCACGCTGTGTGACAGTGTTTAAAACGGTGTTTGACGGTGTTTGGAAGCCAACTGATTTTCTGTCGCTATTGTTGATTTGAACAGCTCGAGAGAGGACTGTGTTTGCTGTTCTAGAGGGTACAAACGAAATGAAGGGGGGGGGGGGGGGGGGCCGGGGCGGGGGGGGGGGGGGGTGTGGGGGGGAGGGGGGGGGGGGG